ATCACGTACATAGCACATAAATAACCGTTGGCTGAAAAAAAGTATCAAATTGGCAAAGAATTCGCGCTTTAAAATCATTTGCCAGCTACCACAGGGCTCGCTGCATTAAACATTTATAACAAAAAAAAAAAGAAGAAGAAAAGTGCAACAGGAGCAAAAACAAAACCAAATCTATGGGCGAACAATAACAGAAAAAATGTATTATTTTGTAATATAATTTCTCGAGCGTAAATGTAATTTATCAATTTGTGAGCGGGCCAGCAACGAAAGGGAAAACGAAAAGCAAAGCCCAAAAAAAATCAAATAAGTATGAAAGCCAAAAAACGCAAACAGGCCGAAACATTTTGTTAGTAACATTTGTTGGCAACTTTATGAATGTATAAATGTATGTGTGTGTGTGTGTGTCTGTGTAGGTTTTTTTTTTTGTTCTTTTTGTATTTGTGGGTGGGCTGTCTTTAGAGGCCGTGATGTTTGGTCGGTTCGTTCGCTCTCGTACTATATAAAACGTGCCGCAGGCCTTGCAGTAATTGGCAATAAATGTGTTCATGAATTTTAATGTCGGCTCGTTCGGTCCGAATGTTCGCTTGTTGGTCAGTGACTGACTAAAGCAAAGGCGCAAATCGCCCTCAACCATGCTCCGCTCTGCGTATAACTCATAATTTGGTGCCTTTTGGTCTTAGCCAGGCTTCTGGCTTGAGTTTGCTGCGTAATTTGATTTTTCTTGCGACAAATATTGAGATTTATTTGATTTTGAATTGTGGCGGAGTTTATATTTTTCTATGTTTTTGTTTTCGCATTGCCATTAAATTTAATATAATTTAACGACTCAAATGTCCAGCAAATAAGTGAATACTCGTACATTTACCAAATCAGAACACGAAACATGAGAGCTGCACAGGAAGCCCACACACAAGCATACTCAGGGTACGCGGTCTTCCCGCCACATCCGTGCTGCCACGAGTGAGTGGTTTGATTTGATGAGTTGGGGACCACCGTGCAGGCAAATTTGCACAACTTTTAGTTTGATTTATCATATTCAATTACAAAACGAACGAACGAACGAACAAGCAAAGACGCGCCTGCCTGACGTATTAAATGCCACATCCGCCCAATGCGGCGTATGAGTAATTTAGTTCTTGGTAGCAACCTGCCACTCAACCCATTCCACTACTCCAGCTTACTGACTGCTTCCGGCATTCTGTTTGTCTGAATTCTCGTTTGTTTGTTTCGCCGTCAGCTTCAACTCCATGCCTATGCGTAAAACGGGAAACAGCAAACGGCCAAATTTCGCAGTGTTTAAACATCCAAGATAGAACGGCGAAGGCGGCCAACAACACGAAGCTATGGAGGGAAAAAATATGCTGAAAGCTGATATCAACAACTACTTTAGCCAAGTGCCGCGTTTCCTCAGTCTCAACAAAGATGTTACTTTTACTTTGCGTGTGCCATGTGCTCGACTTTAGAAAGAACCGGCTATACGCAAACAAACTTTCGCAAAAGTCCAAATGGAACATGTAGAACGTCAGCTTGTGTGGGTTTCAGCTTGTAGTTCAATTTACAAGTGTGTGTGTGTGTGTGTGTGTAGGCGTAGCTCTTAGATGTGGTTTTTACTCACAATTCTAGGTTTTTAACGAGCCTGTCCGTCGCTTATTTTTATCATCAATTTCACAAGACAAATTTACCGTGTCATGTATTCGTGGGCGTAGCGTTTGATTTGGTAATATGATTGATAAGAAGTATTTGATCGTTTAAAAATATTGTATCCATCCCATGCATACTGATTGCTTTATTCATAATGTATCCAGTTACAGACCTTTATTTGCAAAATATGCATAAAAAGTGGGCGCCATTGTTTTGGCAACAATTTAACTTCGATGCATTCAAATGACTTTTATTCAGCGTGATTTATTAACATTTTAAAAGCAGTTTCTTAAATACAAATAAAAACTAGACGAGCAGATTGAAGGATATTAAGAAAAATTGTGTCGGCAACCGATAGTGGAGCCATGGATCCTGATTATTTGCACTAACAAAGCTCTTAGAAAAGGTAGACTATGCACTTAATAATATTCAAGTATATAAAAATGATGATAGCATTTTTATAACCATTTTTCATTTTAAGTAAAAGAAAAACATAGCAATTCCAGAGTGTTTATAGAATGGATTCATTGAGATTTGGCTGCTGTAGAGAATCCTCGAGAAAATTGATTATAAATCATCTATACTACTTGTATTACATAGATAGTAAATTATTAAATCTCCGAAACCTTTGAGATTTATGTTGCTTCCTTCTTCTTCTTTTCTAATCTTTTAACACTTAAAGTTCTTTATAATTCGTGTCATTCGTCGTAATAGTTCCAATACAAAATATTATTTAACTTTAAGACATGACTTAACAAAAGCTTTTATGCAACTATTGATCATAACGCTTTTAATCGATAACCATTAGCTTACAGTTTTGTGGCTTTCACAATTTTTTGTGTTTTACACATTTTTCAGGCCTTTGTTCAAACATAAAGAATTTGTTTAATGGGCACATGAAGACCATCAAACTGCAACTGACGTACTTTAGAATTTAGTTTTTGACTTAAAATCTTAGCCCCCCCAGAAAGGATTTACATTTTGAAAGGTTATTTATTCTTCTTAACGTTCGAATATGTTACATTTTTAAATGACAAATTACGCCCCAGGCCAGAAACTAATACACAGAATTAAATATCGTTGAGTAACTTGTAGTAACTCATAACGCAGCACGCACTTTAACAATTGTAATGCCCTGCAGGTGACAACATACGTATACGGATACATAAAGCCCAAACATCAGCACGTAAGTGGACATATCTATTGGAATCTCCGGCTCCTGCTGTGCACATTTCATGCAAGTTTTCTCCCCAAATGCACTTTGGAATATTATTGTGAATTATGCCTCAGTGCTCGATTAAATTGTGCGTATTGCATAAGTTTTGAAGCAGGTCTTAGCACAGGGCTGAGGCATTTTGGAGGTTGTCGCAATTTTTCACTTCTACCGCAACAACTTTGCAGAAATATTACTCAACTGTGCCCAACGGCAATATCCTGACAACAAATCCTCCACACACACACATATAAATATATATGTATGTGTATAGACCGTTCCGCTCTGAGTCCTGAGCTCGCTCACTGAGGCGGCGGCTGTGTGCCAAATATGTAAAATGAAAAATATGCTGCACATAAATCCTGTGGCTTTCACATGTTCCGACAGCAACAGCGTCTCGGCAAAGCCAAGCATTTCAAATTTCCTACCAAACTTGCCTGCATTCTTCCTTTGTTGTGCCATCGTCATCATCCCAGACAAACTGCAGCAGCTTGCAACATTGCCAAGTGCATTCGCCTTTATTTGTTAGCTTTTTGGCAAATGAAGAACAGTACTCGTTTCGTTAACATCCTGCTTAGCATTGTTTAGCACATGCTTCATAATTTTCAATTTCTCGTTGCCCATTTTTGAAGCAATTTCCGTTGCCATTTTGCATTTCCTCTGATCCTTTTTTGTTTTAGTTTCAACCAAAAAAAAAAGCAGACTTCTCTGTGTTGGCAACTGTGTTGGCTTGTGGCGCACTACTAACCACATTGTCCTGTGGCTAATTTATGCAGTTACCAGTGCGCGTTCCGAATGCGACATACAACCGCATTTTATCGCTGAGGCAGGCACACAAGTGTCCAAAGCGCGACCACAAATCACTGACTCACACACACACACTCACATGCATTACATTGTTCCAAGGGTCGCACTTCAAAAAAAGGTTAACTAAACCGCTGACCTTATAGAAAAACAAAAACCACTACAGTAACAGCAACTGCAACGATTGCAACACAGATACCCGTGCACTCACGCACACATAGAAACTTGTCAACATGTGACACCAAGTTGATTTCAATTTGAACGGGTCACGTGGGTTTGTGTGGCTTGGGATTTGTGGAAACCATATTTATGTTTTTTCCTGGCACATACAAGTTCCGATATGAAAAGCATTTTCCAATATCAAAATTTCAAAAATGTTTTTATACAAGTAATTGAGTAAACAATTTACAGCCCTAGATTGATGATATTATTCAATTCTGTCAATTCACTTAGTTGCTCAAAACTAATTTAAATAACTAATGTGGTTTACCTAAAGAAAAGATTTATCAATCATAAACAAACATTCATAGCATCTTCACAATGCATAATACTGTGAAAGGAGCTAAAGGGTATCCCACAATAAATCACAAATAAGGTTTGCACAATTCTAAAGTCTCAAGTCTTCCAGGCTTGCAATATTATTCGAGAGATAATTAAGAAGAAAGTTTCCCTCCCATTATTTTGAATATTATATTTTATTTTTATTGCTTTTCAAGCTACATATATATTTTCAGTCTTGTGTGTGACATGTCTATATCTTATATTTGTTCCCCAAAATAAAAACATGTTACACATTTTTTTGACAATGTCCGTAACAAGAGAACGTAATGAATTAAGCTAATTTTTTTCTTTCTTATTTGATTCATTTGATTCTTAGCATATTGTCTACGTTTTCAAAATCTGAAACAATATAACTAAAATGTATTAAACATAAGGAACTTTGTGCTGAAAGGATTTCTAATATGATGTTTAAATTAATTTTAATATCAGTGCAATTAACATAATTAGTGCAATTACAATTTTAAATAAAACTATTGCTACGTATTTAAATGGAATGCAAAAAACCACCAAATATATATTTGAAATAATTATAGCAAAAGGGATACGTGCGCTACCGTTATAAATAGATTACCAGTTTTACAAATGAGATAGGAAGAAAAGCAGAAGGTGAAAAGTAAAATTAGGTGGCAAAGAGTAAAACTGATTTCAACAAAAAATAACAAAAAGAAGAGGCAACAAAGACCAAGACCACTAATTGCATTTAAACGAAAGCTAAAAATCATTCACTTACCCACCCATCACTTACTTACTTTCTCTTTTCTGTTTTTTGTCTGGCTTTCAGATGCTCTTTAAGTGGTTGCTGTTCTGCCTCTGCATCATGCCGGCCATGTTCAGCACAACGCATAGAAAATGCCCCGCGGAATGCACCTGCAGTATGGATGAGTTGAATCGTTATCAGGCTATCTGCACAAAAGGTAAGTGGCACAATAAACGTGCAAACGACGCGGAAATGAGAATGTGCCGTGTGAGGCAGCGCGTTAAATTAGAATATAAAAGAGACAGCTGTCGTTAGACTGAGCAGCGGAAATGTGCGCAAATTACAAGGATGCCAGGCACTTGCTGGCAGGAGGGAGAAGTGTGGCCAAGATTGTGTGCGATTGTCATAAGCGCAATATCAAAGATAACTACATACTGTAGTAGTTGTATAGAAAATTGAGCTGCTAATGCTGTGGCAAGTCCTCAAACACAAACACACACAGTACTTTTTCCCCCACATATACCAATTACTTTTAAAGTGTGCCATTTATTTCTTTAAATGCCTGACAATTTCAATTTGTTCAGCTGTCATTTGCCGCCAATTCCAGATAGGGAAACTTCCCTATGTGTGTGTGCGAGTGTGTTTATATGTGTGGCTGTGTGTCCAAGTAAGCTCGCGCATCTTCAAAAAATCTATAATTTCAATTTAACGCTTGTTTGCTTTGCACATATTGTAAGTTGGTCTTAGAAGTTTGTTATGTCTCCAACATTTCACATTGGCGTTCCAATTTTGTTTTTAAATGTTGCACAAAATAATCCGCTGCTAAGGCTCAATGCTTACTTTTTAAAGATTCGAATGCATGACGTACGTTAAAATAACTTTTGAAATAAAATGGAAACTTAACATCCATAATTTATTGCTCAAAGCTGATGGATCTGAGAATTAGCTTAAAATCAATGAACAATCAATGAAATGGATACATTTTTTAATCAGCTTTTTGGTTACTTCTGCACAATTGAACTCTTAAATTGGATATTGTCTGATGTGTGTGTAAGTTAGTCACACTTAGTTGTGGTGCCCTTCTCTCTATCTATTTGGTTCAATAATTACTTTTCATTAAACTTTTGAGCTACCGCCCTGAGAGAACGACATCATCTGTTTTAGTTTTCTAAGTAAAACATTTTGCTTATTAAGAGTACAAAGCACACGTCACAACCATCATGACAGAACGCATGATTAAACGAATCCAATGCTACCATAAAATTGAATAATTGTCCTCATTAGGACAGATCTAAAATAAAGAATAAAGATTTTAAAAAAGAGTACAAAGCAAGCTAAATGTTCTACGGTGCACAGTGGGGCCTTCGGACTTTTTTCGTTGCAAAAATCATATCTTCTGAACGGCTGAAGCAATTTTCGTCATTCAAATTTTGTTTGAAAGAAAAATTCTTAAGCTTTGAAACAAGTCATAGCGCATTGTGCTGTGATTTGTAGGAGCTGCGCAATGTGTGCTCAAAGTTGGATTTTGTTGCCAGTGCAATATTTGCCTAATCAAACTAATAAAAAACATTTAATGATACAATTATTTTCAGTTATGTTATATTTTTAGTTTTTAACAAATTAAAAATTGAAAAAAAAATTGTTTAAATATTACAAATTTTTTTTTTAATTTAAAAATATTGAAAATTTTTTTTACATAAAAAAAAATTAAAATAAAATATTTTGTTAATATTTTATGATTACATTAATTTTTATTATAAAGTACTGACAGCTGCAATTATTTACATTAATATGTTTTCTTTAAAATAGTCGTCTACATTCGAAGGAATATCTAATAATTTCACCATGTCCGAAGAATAATTACTAACTAATTCTTTGTGAGACCTCACATGTCTAAGGGATGAAACCAGTGGATCTGAAGAGGCTGACAACATATTGAAGAGATCCTCGTTTTGCCTTATTCGTGACGTCTTGCATGTGTTCAAATATCTGAATTTTTTATAGTCCTTGTTCCTCGACTCTTGGGCTTCCTCTGACATTTCTCCAATTGGTCATGAAGTGTTACTTGCACTGACTGTTCCGTCACTATTGTGGGCTGAGGTACTGCCTCTTTCTTAGCCGATCCTATTTGTTTGTACCCAGGAAGAACATCAACATTATGCCGAATTAGGGAATGTCGCAATATTAAATATTTTTCCTTTGACAATCCCAAATCCATAAACAATGCCAAAGCCTCATCGGCACTGAACTGCTTTGGCAGTAAGTTTGGCGGAGTAGGAATGCTTTCCTTGATCCTTTTAAGTCGCACTGGGCTTGCGTCAGCAACCGCTTTTGTGACTTGCGATTTTATTTTTTCCTGATCCTTGGTGTATTTCATGGACAGCGCCTCCGACAAGTGATCCGTAGCTATGGCTTCTGTGACATCGACAAGCTTTCTTTTTCTTGTAAAATCCGAGCATTCTTCAATGGATTTCGTTGGTCTTCCTCTGGCTCGTCCAGTTGATGTAGAGGGTACATCGTCCATTGATGTATCCAAGTACGTAGTCGTTGATAGCCAGATTTCATATTTTAAATCAAATTTCTGCTTGCTATATCCTACGCTTATCCATTTCTGTTTGATTTTAGAATAAATTAATTTAAGCTTATTTCTCAACATTTTTTGCTGATCTGCACTTTCCAGAGCATCATACAGCTCTTCCAGAACAGCTTCTTCAAATTCCTTCTCATCATTGGAATTCCTAAATAGATCAAATAATGTTGCATTTTGCACAGCCATGTTAAAGAAAAATCACTTTTAAGGTATTTAAACGTAAATTATATTGAAAAATACTATTCACTGCTAGTTAGACACAACTGATTGCTTTTTAAGTCAAAATTCGACTATTACGCTGCACCAAAAATATTGGCAATATATACCATTTCTAAACGCATACCTAAGATAATAAACTAAAACCTCTTTTTGCCTGTTCAAATGCTTTAAAGCAAAGAAATTACAATTCATGAAAGGGTCAAAAAGATTGCAAGACCTTCACCTGATATTGTAAATTACACTACCTGTAATAAATGTTATGCATAATTTTGGTTGCACAATATTAAATGTGGATCAAATAGGACCGCTTAGGTATATTTTTGTATCCATAATGCTAAATACAATGTTCCTAATAGCCGTTACTGCGAATCTACCTGCAATGCATTCTTCTTCTTATACCCGCGGCAGCGCCTTTTTCGCTGATTTTTTTCCGAAGTTGCGGCACTCTTTTTGCTCTGGTGCACACCGGCGGATCCGGGCGGATGAAAGTTTTATTGCGTTAGGTAAAAGAATATTTAGAGAACATATTTTGAAAATATGGGAGAGGTACTTTTGGGTACTTTTTTTGTATTTTCCATCAAAGTTGAAAAACACCCTAAAAATAGGTAGTTTAAAAAATAACGTTTTCTAGATAACTACAAATACGAAAGACATAGTTTTTATTAAATAATGCATAAAATTAATTCATCTAGCAATACAAATCAAAACATCAATGATTCGTTTCATAACTTAGCTAATATTATACCTGAAAGATGAAGTATTTGCATCAAATTGAATTAATTGTTGCGAGCTTAAAAAAGGGTCGACTTTGAGTGCACATATGTCCTAAACTATAATTACGATTTTTTTGAGAGTAAGATTTTCGTAATCTTTGGAAAAAAAAACTATTAGACACGTTTATTCATTACTCCCAAAGCGTTCATGAAAATTTTGATTTTCGCAAGCTGTTTCGGCCTAAGGCCCCACTGTGCGGTGTAGCGTATAGAGCTTCCGTGCAGACGAAAATAATTTGTTTATTTGTTTTTCAGCCGTATGCATATATAATATTTCTCGCTTGTTAATTACATTCATGAGCAATTTAATTATTCATTTTTTCCTCACTTTTGTTTTTAAAACGTTTCTATTGATGAATAATGCTAAATAAAACAGTAAAATATATACTTAAAGAATAAATGAATATTCACAACTAATTACTATACTGAATTTCTGGTTACTATGAATAAGGAGACCTTGCGGCAAACATTGATACTTTTAATTTCCTCAAGCTCAATTTTATTGATTTAGTCTGGATTTGTATTATCCTTTTAATTAAGTTTAGTTATCTTTCTCACTTTTGGTCAGTGGAACTCAGGCAGTACATTCCTACAAATCTACAATCCTATCCATACTTCGCTAAATATGTTATTCAACCATGAATGTTTTTCGATATTTACGTATAGCAGAAATGCTTGTAATATATACATTCAAGTATGGCACAAGCTGATGTTTTATTTCTATGCCAAAATAATAGTCATCATCACCAACACGATATATTGAAATCCTTAAATATTAGCTCATATAGCATGAAGGGCGTTATGTATCCAAAAAGTCTGCTTTTCTCTAAATTATAGCATAATATTTTCACCTAAAAAGCTTCATGTACTTCCTCTAATTGCTTCAGAAGACAATTATGTATGTGCCTTTATTTCATAAACGTTTAAAATTGGCATCCTGTGAGCAGTAATTTTATGAAAATCAATCTTAATGGTCATATATCATAAGTAGTACTGTGTTGGAAGAACAACAATAGCAATAAAATGCCATTAACGGCATTTACCAACGCCTTCAAATATGTTGCAATCAGTGTTAATTCTTTGCGTTTTTATGCAAATTCACGAACGACCAAAAGTGCAAGCCTCATGGCCATACACACAATAAATGCATTATAATGAAACCGCAACAACAACAGCAATAATGGTGGATAATACAAAGTGTTGAGTACAAAGCGCTGCGTGCGCGTGAATACAACAAAATTGTATAGCATACAAATGGGGGCAGGCAGCAAGCGCTGCAACACAATGGCAATAACAACAAGAACAACGTGTAGCAGCAATTTAATAGAAACTGCACTCGTTGAATTATAAGCTTCAAATGCTGCCGTCCACCATCAAAAGCGACAAGGACGGACCCAGAGCGGCACATTGTTTGCATACACAAATGGTAGAGTGCCGGACCAGACCGCAACTGAAGTTTTGTCTGATTTTAATGATCTCATTGTTATTGTTGTGGCTCTTGTAGTTGGTATATTGTAGTTTTTGTAGCTATCATAATGGTGCTGCATAAATTTAATTTAAGTGCTCCATATATATTTGTAATTGTGTCAACAACAATTAAAGAACTCTTTTTCTTTCCCCTGGCAGGCGGCCTGAGCTCTCTATCGCCCAATCAACTGGACAAGGATGTCAAGGTGATCATTATAAAAGGACCTCGTAATACCATTACCATTGGACCCGCTCTGCGTCAGTTCATGCAGCTGCAGGTGTTGCGCATCACAGACTCGAATCTTCCTGCTATTGGTGCCGAATCCTTTTGGGGCCTGAAATATCTGCGCACATTAGGTGAGTAGGAAGTAATGGGCAAGGCATGTAATCAAATTTATGTGCTGCTGCGCTCTGTGATTTTATAAATGCGCTGCAATAAAAAGCCCGATACGGGCAGCAGCGACAGCATTTTCAATTTAACTAACCGAAGAAGGCAAGAGTAGTTAAAACGCCACGCCATAATATGCAAATAACACAATCAAAAAAGGGACAAAAGGCGGCGGTGCTCACCGTTTGTGGTGCAACAGAAGCAAAGACAACGGTAACAGCAGCAGCATCATAAAAAACCAAACGGAAACCAAATAAAGCTTGGACGTTAAATGAGCGCAGTGGCCATTGCCATTGCGAGGATAACGCTTGTCAATAAAATTGAAATTGATGCGCCAAACAGGAGCATTGGCAGCAGTAGCACCACCAGCAGCAGCAGCAGCTGGAACAAAAAGCAAAGCAGCAATCAAACAGTAACCCAGCCGATATATACAAAAAAAAAACCAACAACAAAAATAAGATTGAAAAAGCAAAAACAAATGTAAAGGCGATGCGTCGATATCGTTTGCGCTTTAAACTTGTTTATTTGTGTTTTATTTGCGCGTCTGTGTGTTTACAGCCAGACCAAAATACCAACCAACCAACCAATCCATCCCTGTTCCCATTCGAATTCTCATTGCTAGCCTCATCCCCACTGCCACTGGATGAGCGAAGCTTATTTACATGCCCATGCCATTGTTTCTTTGTTCTCCTGCCGTTTGGCGTTTCATTTGCTTGCCAAAAGTCAAAAGTTGGCACAACAACAAAAATAATACCAACAATACGAAGCACATTCTGGCATACAGTTGCCTGCAAAAAGTTGCTCTGCATTCGAAATTGGTAAGGGATACGCTTCATAGTAAATGGATATGGAAAACGCATTGAGCTAAGCAAATGGGTTTCATCTTTTTTTTCTCTCTGCACCCGCCATTTCTATTTAAATTAATTTTCCAAATGTTTAAGTAGGCGTGGCTCCCTTCTAAATTGCTTCAGCACGAAAGGCAACAACAGCAACAGCACATAACAAACAAATCTCTGGTATGTGTTTTGCCTGGCTTCCAGCTAAAAATTACTGTCTCTGCTGCCTAGACAAAGGGGCGTATGAGCAATGTTTTGTGTGTGCGTGTGTTTGTGGCAACTTTTTGCTATTCATTTCATTTAAAATATATTGTAGTACTCGTACATTCTTGCCCTACTTGTCCAACATGTATTCCTTTGCTGTAGTTTAAGTTTTAATGAACCAAACTTAACACTCACACATGCTTGTTTATTCGTAATCAAATTTTAATTTGTTTACTTCAATCAGAAATGTGTTTATTTACATATCGTATACTGTGCATTTTTGCAATTGAACTGCATGGCACATATATGAATATGTATTTATTCTTCGCCTTTGATTACAGCCAATTCAGGTGGGCTGCTTGTTGGTTCATCGCATGGCCAGCGGTAGTTGTTAATAAGAAGTGCGCTTGCACGGCCCATTGTTTAACAAATATATTTCATAATTAAATTGTTTTTTCTTTGCACTTTTAATTGGTACACGACAAACATAAATCGTGTTCAACGCTTACGATTGCTGCACACAGATCTCTCAAAGAACAACATAACGAACATAACAGAGAACAACTTTCGAGGCCAGGATAATCTGCATGAGCTGGACTTATCGAAAAATAAAATACTACGCATGGCCAGTTCAACGTTTCGACACTTAACGGTAAGCTACTGCTTTAAATTGTTGCTCATTACTCTTTTAAAGACTTTTAGTAATCAGTAAGGGATTTGTTGTGATTTTCGTTTAAGTACTTTCAACAATTTATAATATTTAAAACGACTTTATTTTAACTTGATTGCACTTCATGGCACATACTTTTCAAATAAGATCAAGCGTTTTTGAGAAAGCGGATATGCAGCTGAATCAACAACCGGCGGCACCCTTCGAACCATTCACTTAAGCCCGATCTAAAAATAAATTATACGAAATTAAACCAATTGACTTTAAAGAAAATCCATTCTGTTGAACACCCACAGACTAATTAAATCGAATAACAGATTTAATAATACATTTTTGTGCTTCTGATATCAATGGACTCTGTTATTTTGTGGTAAATTCTGGAAAGTTTTTTTGACCATACTTTTATTATTCATGTCTTCTTAATAACTTTAACAACCGAAAAAGTACTGAAGTTTCATCTTTCAGACATATTTTAAAAAATTTTCTCTAAAGAGTTTGAGATCAAAGGAATGAAAACCAAAGCTTTTTCTAAATTAAGTTTTGACTATATAGTAATTTTATTTATTAGTTACTACCTTTAAGTCCAAAATCATAAAATAAATTGTATCTCTGGGGTTATGAACAAATCTAGCACTTTTGAAATTGTATTAATAGGGAACATTTATAAGATATAAATTTTCCAATCTGTATTATCGTCAAACAAGACATTTATTTTAAATTAAGAACAGACAAACATGCGTAAACATAATCCAATACGCATGGTGCTATAGCCACAAAGTCTGATTTGCTTCTTTCCAAATACAAGTTGTATTTCTTGCTACTCTAAATATTTCAGTATTTTATAATTTCGCAGTTGCTCATCGGTATTTGTGATATACTATAAAGTGCATTGGGATATATTTTGTGGAATTTATTAATAGCATCAAAGTGTTGCAGACATTTTGCGGGCCACAGCAAAAGTTGTACGTACCCGAATTTAAGTTTGTCCTCGCCCAGTCGTACCTCTCCTATCTTTCTCCCCTTTCCTCATCCATTCGGTCTCGGCGAACGGAAGTGCCAGTGCACAAAACTTTGGTGTCTTCAATTTGCTTTCGATTTTTGCTTTTGCGCTCGCAACTTGCCGTCCGCTATTCCGACTTCCGCTGCAGCATGCCATTTTGTTTTTGAAACTTTCTCTGTTCTTCATTTTTTTGTTTAGCAGTTTCCGGGCCTGTAGTTTTGCTGAAGCCCGTTGGCAACATTTGCCCGACTTATGAATTATTAGCCGACAAATAGCATTAAAATTATTAATTGAGTGTGTGCAATACAATCACCTTTTTTCACTCCCCACTCTTTCTCTGTTTGTTTTAATGTACGCAGGAGCTGCGACGTCTTAGCCTGGCTGATAACTCAATTGTGGAGCTCGTGCAGCGTAACTTCTTCATGCTGAGCAGACTCAAGTACCTGGACTTGAGCGGAAATCCGCTGCAGGATTTACAGCCGGATGTGTTTCGCGATGTGCCGGTGAGTAATGACATGAACGACGCAGAAGCGAAAACAACAACGGCACGCAACTCACGCACTTTTCTTGTTCATTGTTTTCGGTTTGCTCCTTCGTCCTACGCAGGAACTCAAAGTATTCAAGTGCCGCAATTGTCAGCTGAAAAAAATCAATCCACAGTTGTACAATTTATTGCCGCTCTTAAGCGAATTGGATTTGGGACGGAACGAGGTTTGTCGGCTTTCATTTGTTCTGTTGCCTTGGCTCTAGCCCTTGCCAATTATTTTCGCCCTTCTTGCAGTTCAAATTCCTCGACAAGGACGAATTTCGAGATGTAAATCGTCTGACGAAAGTTTTACTCGACGGTAATCAATTGTCTGTGGTCGTGGACCAGCTCTTCCGGATGCAGAAAAGTCTTAATCACTTGGGTAAGCTAGATGATGACTCCATCCTCCTCCGCATTTATTTATAGAAGACGACCCTTTTCCATTTATTGACTCAATCTATTCATTTTAGATTTATCATACAATCGCCTAGCCAAGGTGCCCAATGACTCGTTCCTGCATTTGAATAATTTAACCTTTCTGGACTTGTCCTACAATAAACTGGTGCGTCTGGAGCCGCAGTCCGTGCGTAATCTGACCAACCTGCAAACTCTCAACATCAGCGGCAATGTGCTAATGGATTTGCTAGAGATGCGTGAAACCTTTGAGGTAGGCAGCATCAACATCAACATCAACAACAACAACAGCTGCTCATTACACATTCATCTGCAATTTGTATGCAATTTTGTTAACAGATGATACCACAACTGACGCATCTGTCCATTGCCGATATGGGCCAACTACCAGTTGGCTTACTGGTGCCCTTCAGACAGCTGCGCTATTTGAATATATCTGGCAATTCGTTGGACAATATGGCACTGCAAGTTATTGCCCCGTGTCGTGAGCTGGAGGTAAGTTTTCGGTAGCCCAGCAAAAAAGTGATTGAATGCCAATTGAATGGGTGTGTGTTGCTTCTGTGTTGTATTTCAAGATTTGTCGCCCTGCACAAAAGCTTGGCATGTTTTATAAATGGCAACAGCAACAACAACAGCAATACAACCAACAACACTCAGCTGCGGCCCATTTTGCCATTGTTGTGATTGTCGTGTGTCCTGTTGCCAACACAGCATGCATGTTTCTCTGCCTGCCTGCCTGGCTGTCTGTCTGTATTTATTCAACTGCTGATAGCTCTTTGACCGATTGAAAAGTATTTCGCTTTTGTAACAATTTCAAAATGAAAATGCTGCCGTTCAGACGGCATTTTTGGCTCATGGATGTAAAGTTTTGAGTCCGTGCTCTATTGGACTAATGGAGGGGGGAGTGTGGCGGTACGAGACGTATATTGATAAAGAAAACATATTGGCAGACAGCAACAAAGATGCTACATACTATTCTAACTACTGCTAACCCCACCCCCCACCTTATAACCCACCCTAAACACATGCAGTGTCTGCAGCTCTAAGAAAAATATGACCTCCAATTTCGTTATGAAATTATATGGCTATTTAAACTTAGATTGTTGCTCTTACTTTACGTACAATAAGGCTGTTCTTCGTCAAAATGACTACAGGCGATTGTAAATTGTTCCTGTTTGATCTCAAAGCACAAATTTTAAATTTTGGAAGTGAAACTTCTTATGAGGGGTTTGAATGCTGGATCGGCGAGTTCTATAGCTATTTATAGAAGTATTCTAGCCATTTTCTAGCGGGTTTTCTATATCTTTTAGTTGTGTTATTTTTTTTTACATTTTGTGGAAAATTTTTAGCGGATTTTCTTCGCTTTTTCTAGCTACTTATAATTGTTTTTCTTGCGATTTTATAGCGGGTTTTCTAGCTATTCATAGCGGTTTTTAAATCCACTTTCCAGCAATTTTCTAGCTTGCTAACCAAAAGCGATAACCATTTTCTAACATTAGCTCAATCTAAGTCGTTCCAGTACAACCATTAAGTTTCACTTCTATCGCGTGTCGCCCTGACACACAAATATTTTATTTTATCTCTTAAAATCACGAAACCAACCTTTTTACCATCTCTTGTTTATCCAGCTTGAGAAATGAAACACAAACAGCTTAGCCCACGAACTCAAATGGCATCATCTGCTTGGCTCTCTGTTCGTGTCCTCGCTCGTTCGCCGTGTCATTCTGCAGAATCGGTTGTTGTCGTATTTGTAGGTTTCAGGTATTATTTTCATTGTTTTTGTTGTTCACCATGGCAAATGTATTTCGCAACAATAATCATTTTATGCACATTAAGCCTTTCAATTTAATTGAATTTAATTATATATGTATATACTTCAGATCTAAACCAATTTCGTCATTGTTTTCGTAGGTCATGTTTTTGTTGTCTCGCTGCTGGCTTTCCTTTGGCATGTGTAAGGCCACTGGCCATTGCCTGACCTAATCGCTTTTTGATAAGCAAATTGCAGCTTAGAATTTTGCAAGGGGTTTGAATAAAATCATTTTATATAAAAGCAGCTACATCCTTCGAATCAGGGAGATGATTACAGCGCAAATGGGGGAAATGCCAACGTACATTAATGCACATTTCATTTGAATACCTTACCCTGAATTGTTGTGTCTCTTTTGTCTGACAGTTTCTGGATTTATCACGAAATCAATTATACGGCATCAGCGAGGACACAGCGCTGCGCATTCAAGGCATTCGCAACGTGCGCCTTGACAACAATCCTTTGATATGCGATGAATGTCACATGGGAAAATTAATAAATGTTGTGCGACAGGTGAGTGCATACAAAACGATAATGAAATGAGGAGCAGAACAAAAAGATTGCCGTGCATTGGCAGCCAACATAAATTGCAATTTATTGTCAAAGTACTATTATGCTTTTCGGATTCATACATTTCCTCATATGTTTGTCTGAATTATTTATAGCTGCAGTGGAAATGGGATACATATCCGATTTGTTTTCTGCCCAAAAGTTTGCGTGGCGCCGAAATCAACAATTTGGACATTGGCGGCCTGCACACATGTCTTGATTACATCAGTGATGAGGAGCAGAATGCTGCCAGCACTTCGTATAATTTTCTTGAGCACGGTGAGTCTAAAAGTTGTGTGCAATTAATTAAATGAATTTGTTTTTGACTCTCTGCACTCTCTCCTCCCAACGCTCTCTTCCTCTATTAACAGGCGGCCTTAATACTCTCGCCATTTTGGGCGGCATCATTTTTGTTCTAATTACCACCATTATACTGTCGGTTGTGGTCTGTTTCTCCAAAAATCGTGCCCGCTATTATACTAGAGAGGATCATCTCAATGGCAGTAAGTCAGCACATATATTTCATTTGACTTATTTAATTACACAACTTGAAGCTTTGGCAAATGCCTGCAATAAATGTCCAAGGTGTGGCAAAGAAAAATTGCCAGTCAGAAAAGAGCCATTTCAAAATGGCTGAGACGCCTGTTCAGTGTTCACCCTCGCCTGTCTGTGAACCTAATCCTTTTGGGCAAAGCGCCAAGCCATACTCGTACAGAAGCAAACTTTTCTTGGCAGACAGGCCCACAGACATGGCGTTGAAATGCGAAAACGAACGCATAAATGTGAGCGACGACAGCTTGAAACTGAAACTTATTTAAAGAAAAGGGAACAGGCAGCTATACGAGTACAGGACTTTCAAAATTTCCCACTTGCTCGCACCAAGGCCGTGCGGCATGCACGAGAAATTTTCAACGAAATTAAAAAGAAAGACGTCGTACTTAATTAATTAGAAGTACGTGCTTCATTATATGCCTCCGCGACTTAATTGAGGAATAAATAAATTTCACGCTGACCCCAGCAAAGCGGTCATGCGCAAGCAGTAGCAGCAACAGTAGCAACAACAACAGTAACAGTAATAGCACCTGCCCAGCAAGCTTGCTTACCTTTTCGGTTGACGCAAGTTGTGTGTAGCTCACAAATTGGCCCAAGGGCGAAGCCATTCAGCGTGGAACGCACTCGGGGGAAACGCACGGCCTGCGCCCAAACAAAGCAAACTTTTGAATTTTCGCAATTGTAGCGTTTTCTGCTTTACAATAAAAGCGACGCGACCACCACCCCCACGCCGTACAGCCCACCTTAGGTATTTTTACAGGCCGCAGCGCAACGACAAAATGTAAAACAAAAGTTTTTCACACAATTCAAGTCCCTTGATAAGCGAAAAGCAAACATACAGATGCATGAGAAATTGAAAGGGTTGCTCGAAAAGTAAAAGCAATTGCATAGAAGGATTCCATACAATACAAAGCATGAGAAACAGAATGGCAATGAATATAATAGAAGAACAACACCTAAATAATACAGTTGGAATTGAAACTGAAGAGAAAGGTAAATGGAAACAGTACGTATAGCTGAAAAACTATGAAATAGAAACAAAATAAAAAAAATAAATCGAGTACCAAACAATATGGTACAGGATTAAACAAGGCTGAATTATATTTTCACTTAATCCAAAAATATTTTCGGTGTCGAGAAACATGAGGGAACAATTGTGTTCATTTAGAATTTAAATGAATAATTATACTCTGTACATAAAATATTCAAGAGTATACTTGTATTAGGTTTGCGGGAGCTGAAAATGTAACAGGCAGAAGGAGGCGTGGCAGACCCCACAAAGTATATATATTCTTGATCAGCATGACGAGACGAGTCGATCTAGCCCTATCTGTCTGTCTGTCTGTCTGTCTGTCCGTCTGTCAGTCTGTCCGTCCGTATGAACACCTGGATCTCAGAGACTATAAGAGATAGAGACACCAAATTTTGCACAAAGATGCCTTATATGTATACGCTACACGAGTTTGTTTTATTTTTTGGATTTTCCCCCCACTTCCCCCCTATGGGAGATTTCCCGATTTTCCATTCGTATATTCGCCTATATCTCGGAGAGTATTACACGTAGGAACACCAAATTTTAGAATTTTAGAATTTCCCTTCCTCCCCCCTCTCCCACGCAAATTGCGATTTTCAAGTTTCACTATGATATACCGATTTAACAAGAAGTTATAGCTATAAATATATTTGCTGCTGCAGCGCTGCCCAAGCGCTGCCCGCTGCTGTTGTTGATGCTGATGCTTTGGTTGACTGCAAACATGTTTACACAGATACGAATAGATCATTAATTTTTTTTTATTTTCTATAATTATTGTAAGCATATGTACAGAATATTTCAAAGTCGGAACACCCGAATTTAGCTTCTTTACTCGTTTTCTGTTCTCTTTAAAATTAAAGGTATTATGAAATGAAGAGATATTCTGAAACAGTTCTGTTTTTGTAACAATCTATGTCTGTTGAAACCGGAAATTTAATCTTTATGCATGCCACGTTGGACAGATTTGTATTTAATATTTAAATTATAAAATTAATATTACCAAGAAACTTATTAGGCAATCGAAATAGGGTTTCAATTAAAGCTTAAAGCATAAAAAGAATGGAAAATTGCAGCCCTAAATAATACAGTTGGAATTAAAACAGAACAGTAATATAAAGTACAGAAGTACCAGAAGCCAAATATATATGAAAAAATGTGAAAAGTAAGCCAAATAATGCAAACAAATCGAATACCTACCAATGTGTTACAGGATTATAAAAGGCTTTATTATAATTTCAATTAATTCAAAACTATTTCCGGTGAGGCGATAACAAACAATTGCATTCATTTAAGATTTTAATTTTTAATTTTCTATTATTTTCAAATTGAAGATATTATGGAATTATGGAAATGTTGTGAATTGAAACCATTGCAAATCATGCCACGTTGGACATATTTGTATTTCATATTTAATAGATAAAAATAATTTTCCCGATTAGGCAATCGAAATAATGTTTGAATTGAGCTTAAATCAGTTCTTGTAACACATGAAAAAAGAGGCTGTAGCGATTCCTAACAAATTTACATGCGTACTCCCTGTTCTCACTACGATTCTCTCTTTATATTTAGGAACAGCTCTGCAGCTATCAAGAAACTACCTAAGCAGTTCTCGTTTTTGCATGCATAGTGGGTTGACATAACTACCTCAAGCACTGCACCAATTCAGCCCATATCTCAAACGCTTTTTCTCTCTTCCTCCTTTTTTCTTTGCGACCTGTCTCTGTTGTACCACAGGCGATAGCAAATGTTTGGAAAAGAATTTGGAGGCCACCACAATTACGACACTGGGCAATGGCAATTCTCCAACAACTACAACCACACTCACGCTGGCCATATCACCCGCCGCAGCGCCCGCAAATGGAACAAATGGCACAAGTGGACTGGCCGGCAGTCCGGCCGGCAATGGCAGCACCATGAAGCAACAGCCAACTGGCGTCAACGAGGCTGGTAAGGAAATCAACTTTACATTTCCCATGGACGATCGCGTGTGCACCATCGACGAGCTGGTGTTGCCCCCAGCGCCTCCGCCACCCCACATGCGACACGACCTACCCAGCATGGGCAGTCTGATGTATAATGTCTCCCACACGCCTGGCAACACGATGGCGGGGACGACCACGACGCTGGCGGCGGTGGCTGCAGCAGCCACCGTCATACCACCCGGTGCCCCCTCAGCCGGGGGTGGTATGACTGGCACTTCGCCCTTGCATGCACCCACGCCGACGCCAGCCGAGGCAGTTGTTGTTGTGCTGCCGCCTCCGCCGCAGGCAGGCAGCGTTATCTCCTTAAGAGAGGCACAGCAATTGGTGCATTTGAGTGGCAGCGGCATCGGCGGCGTCAGTGGCGGCGGTGGAGACGTGGGCGTGCTGGAGCCACTAGTCAGCGTCAACTGACCCAGGGGACTTAGCGCAGCCTCAACCACAACAGCCGCAAAAGCAGACTCATCAGCTGGTAAGTTTCCCATGCAAGCAAAATGTACGACAGGGACAACGTAAGCACCGCACTCCAAAGAGGAGGAGTTAAGCCACATGGAGCGTATAATTAATGACAATTTCTGTTTGTTTTTGGGTCAAAAGCAAGTGCAAGTAATTAAGATTTGGGTTTACTTTTTATCTCAACTTCAATTTACTGATTATTGAGTTCATTTTTCATTAATTTGTAACACTCAATTGTAAGGTCACTGCCACCCATGATTTTTAAAGTCTAGGAATTACATGTAGTTTTCTTTCAACTTTTATACTCAAGGTCAAGTCTGTAAATAAACTTCGAGCATATGGCATAAAATAAATAAAGGATAATTTAAACAGATACAAATTTGTATAAACACACACATTCCAAAATGTGATAAAAACAATGGATATATTTTGTAAATAACATAAAATGGAAAAAATTAAATAAAAATGTAGCTATTAAGTCAAATATACAGCAAGAAAACTTGAAAGTATAATCATCAACTAAAAAATACAAAAACTAAAAAAAAAACTAATAATATTTGTACATTTGGCAATTCGATTAAAAATTGTAAGCCGCAAGAAAGCATAAGTAATGTAGTCCGTAGATAGTTTCATGAAACATTGAAACACTTAAAGAAATATTAGACTTACATTTAAGCAAATACCAAGTAATACAGATGTAAGCCAAGCTAAGAGCCACATAAAACAGATAAAAAATATATTGAATATAAAACTCAACAATTACGCGCAACATTAAGAAACACATTAAACATTTTTTTGCCTTCTTTATTTTAATATACAACCAGTTTAATTTTTAACCATAAAACAGAGTATAAAAACTCCTTTAATTTAATAACGAGATTACCATTAATTCCATTACAATCATTTGTAACAAGTTTCATTTATTTAAAATAAAAACCACCTATATTTCAATGTATAGTATAAGCGCAAATATTTAAATCAGTAATAAAGTGTGACTGTTTAATGAAGTAAAAAAAACACAAGCTGCATTTTTTTCTCACCACAGGAAAAACAAAAGCCACAACAATTTAGAAAAAACAACATCTAACTGAACCAACTTACAACAACAACAACAACAAGAGATCAGCAACCGCCGCCTGCAATTTATTGCTTTAAAAATACGCATTGCTGGTGGCATCATTTGTGGCTTATGGCAAGCGTTGCGAACGTCTCCACTTAGCCACACACACACACACACTCTCTTACACACGTACGCAATATGTGCAGTAAAATTATGCTTGCAACACTGATACACACACACACAAGCACATTTATTTGCACTTGGACGGTTAGACGACCGCATATATGACGGCGCCAGCCCTAAGCATGTGCTTTGCAAAGGCTGCCCTAAGTTCGCTTCCTCGCCATTTTAACTCAACGCAAATGAAAATTGCTTCCGTTTTCATTTCGCCACGCTTTCGTGCAATATAGCTGCGCTTTGTGGCAACGATGTCGGTTTGGATTTGGATTGCTATTGTTGTTGATTGCTTAGTAGACGGGGAAGACACGCAAAAACAGCTTGAGACAAAGAAATACACTTTTAAAAACACACGACTGATTTATGATTGTTTGGTAGAAAATCACAGTAATATTATATCATATTTTAATTGTGAATAAGCAAATAATAAAAATGCTGCTTGGTGGCACTTTTTTTATTTATTTTTTTTTTTCTTAATTTTGATAAAACTTTAATTAAAATTTAAAGTTTAGTCTTATTTAAATATTTATTTCATTTAATTATTAATTATTTTATTTATTCTTATATTAAATAAATCTATTGGAAAGATCAGCAGGATGTGATCTCTTCAGCCTCCTTCTTACTACTCTTCTTCCTTTTGTCGCCGTTTCAGCAGGCGCCTTGCTAATACGTTATCATGGGTTCGCAGACGCTCCATGTATTGCGCAGCCTGCTTATTTAGCACGTCTCCAACTTTTTGCATGTGTGCCGTTTTCATGTACCAGGGGGCACCTGTTAGTAGGTTAAGGGTTTTCGCTTGCAGGACCCGGATTTTCTGCAGGTGTGACTTTGCAGCGATTCCATAAACTTGTAAGCCATATCGCCAAGAGGGAGCGATTCAGGACTTATAAACAGTCACTTTGTTTTTCAGTGACAGTTTTTTGCTGGTCATATTGCCATCTCATATTGTTTATTCTAACACTTAGTGTCTTTACAACAGAGCATATGTGCTCTCGAAATGTGAGGCGCCTGTCCAAAAGTACGCCCAAATATCTGTAGCTCTTGGTGTGATTCAACAGCTGGTTCTGAATGGTGGCACTTGGATGAGAAGTGGTTTTACATTTTATATTTCAAAGATCAAGTTTGAAATCGCAGCCCTAAGGTATGCTACATTTTTTAATACGAGTATATGTAAATACTTTTTTTTTTAATAAAAATTATACACCATTTATTAAACTAGTGTTCTGCTACCAATAAGGCAGCTTAAGCTAGTTGAAAATGAATGGGGAATAAAAGAGTTCATTTTTTTTAGATATCGTGTTCTTGCCACATCTTGGATTTATGGATCTTAATCTGGAAATTCGCTACCGCCCATAAGTAGCTTTTCAATCACAGTAGGAGCGCTCTTTTTAAATTCAATAGTTTTATAAGCATCCTCTTAAGCAGTAAGACAAAAAGTATGTGGAAATGAATTTGAAAGCTACGCTCCTATTTTTAAATAGTTTGTAGTATTATTTTGCTTATCTTTTCATAATATATTTTCCCGATGCCACTGCTGACTTTGATTAACTAATAGGCACCTGTCCGGGAATATCGTCGTTGGATAACTGCATAATAAACTCATACCTTTTCGATGAAATCTGGTTCTACTTAGTATTGGTGGAGGTTACACAAGGTTGGGCCAGCTACATTTGCAGATCAGCAACTGAGATAAGCATAGCAGGGCGCTGCAGTCATTTATTTAGCTAGTGCTGCCAAACAATCATATCAAATAATTTCTCAAACGCTTTTTTTAGTGTACTTAAAGAAATATATATAAAGTTTAACTTGCTAGTAGGTAATTGAATTGGACAGCAACAATTAAGGAAGTACCCTGGTAGCTTTATTTATATAACCTATGCGAGAGAAGAATTCGAAATTACCCAAAATTTTTAAAGTAGGAAATGCATGAGTAAGTCATATAATCAAGCGCTGCCCACTTGACTGCTAAGAATTATGGCTGAGGAAAATGCAACCATTTGTTTTGCACAAACTCTCAACCAGCTCATGAATCTCGTAGACAATTTTAAGTAGCTCCATGCTATGCACACATTGTACCCAACCCAAAGCCCGTTGTAAAGCTGTGCGTACTTTTTTGAGGCAAGAAAAAAAAAAGGGGGAGAAAGAAAATACATTTGCGTTTATGCATGAACGCAAGGGCTTCAACTTCGATCAATGTTGTTATGCTGTTGTTGCTGCTGCTGCTGGTGCGTTTTGAATTTTGCATTGGAAATGCATTGGAAATTGCATATAAAAAAGGCTGGAGAAGAGCTCAAGTGGCCAAGTGCGCATAGAAATGGCCAAGGCGCCGCACCCAGCTCTCGCCAGCTGCCGCATGCAAATTGAGCATGCGGTCCATTGCAGGGCTTCCGATTGCACATCAATATTGCTACACTTGACACATGAAGCAGACAACTTTGACTGTCCGGCGCATTGATTAAACTGTGAAGTGCTCTGGGCGCAGTACGAAATTGTTAGCATAGTAGAGATGTGGCCTTTACAAAATAAATTGGTACTGCAGCATCTATACAACTCAATATGCAGTGCACTAATTCATTGTTTCACTTTAATCCACTTGCCTACAAATACGTATACGAAGGGGTTTCGCATAAGCAACGTGCGCCAGACGTTGAGCATGACGTAAAATTTTTTACAACAGACACTTACGACCAATTGACGGTAGATAGCCTATTTAGTTGCGCCCAACTGCAGCGCACATCTGTTCCACCATCAATTGATTTCAAAGTTTAAGGCAAGCCATCAAATAAGGTCTACAGCATCTTCTGCACTCCCGGGTGTTGCCTCGGTCCTTATACACTGCAGATACTAGATACAAGCATAACAACTGCAACTGTGCACTTTTGATTAAGTTTGGATGCAACAGTTGTGGTTGCATGTGTAAATTTAATCAGCAGACCTGCTCAAGAATGCGGAAAAGCTGTGAAGCTGTAACACAATCTTGGGCAAGCAGTTCAAATTTAGCAATTTAATTAAATTTACTGGCCTGTGAGGCGAAGCTTATTTGTGGCACGCCGCTCAGCCAACGTAAATTTACGATACAAGGGATATTTCGACTCCACCAGAAAGGCTGCTCCCAATTTGTTTGTTGTGACTACATGACTATATACTATAGGCTACATAATAATAACAAAAACTAAAGCTTAGAACATGCAGCAACAAATATTCCATCGAAATGTTTTTTAACAAAATCAAATTCTTTATTGGGTTATAGGTCGTAGAACTAAAATACTCTTGTTGTACCAATTATTTCTAACACAGCTATATAGTTTTCCGATCGCAGTAAGACTTCAGATCAAAACTCAAGAAAAAAAGTTTTCTTCCGATCTTTCCTCTGGCAGCTATAAGACAGAATGCACTTTTTTTTAATGCCATGATGTACTTTAACTTATCATTATATTATCATCATATAAATTACAATTTTACTTCAGATATCCCCATAAAAAAGTATACAAGTACTTCAAAAAACCGATTAGTTATATTGCAGGTAAGTAATGGTGTGGCATAAGTATAGCTTTTCTACATTCTAATCAAGCAACCGTTGATCTTATATCGACTTATATACCAACAACTACTAATTGCAACTTTAATGAATTCACAACATACTTCTGGTTGCATGTATTTTCCATTTATAAAGATCTTTTCACTTTACTCTCTCTATATTTATCTATGTATATCCCTATAA